GGCCAATTTACCATTTCAACTTTGTTGATATATCCAAATTATAATGCTACGTAAAGATCGTAATACTATTCATAAACATACCCTCGGGTGATTGTACTGACAGGCGAAATGTAAAGGCGCTCGCATCTGGGTGTAATTCTTCGCATCAGTCTGAGCTCCTCGCCGTAATAACAAGTTCGTCATTTCTTCGTATCCCCTGATAGCTGCAAAGTGAAGCGGCGTGTTTCCTTCGCCATTCTTAACATTTGGATGAATAATCCTCTCTGCTGCTTGCCTCGATCTCTGTCGAAGAATTTACAAAGAACACAATTGAAGTTCACATCACCCACTGTGGCACATGAGTATGCTGGCTGTGATACAAGCTTTGCAGAAAGCCCGATTTTGAGAGCCAACAAGGATTTAGAGGCCTATGCAGCAGACCTCTCCTCTCCATTTTAGCTTAACCGAAGTCACGCAAAAGAATACGGCAAATCGGAGCAAAAAACAAAATAGCTGCTATTAATAATTTTTCTCCCTTCACCGCACACCTTCCGTGACTCTCGCTCAGCTCGCGCTTTTCCTCTTTGCTTAAAAAGAAAAGGAAGAGACTGCTACGGGGGCAACGGACTTAGTGCTTCCATTAACTGACCATCAAAGAAAGTTTTGTCTGCCCCAGGCATACAAACGTCGAGAACTCTGAACAGTTTCTGACGTTCATTTCTTAGATAATATTGTTTTGACTTAAAATTTTCAGCGCGTGCTATTGTGCTGGATCTCGCCGAAGGGTTTATGCTGTTAAGATCTCGTGTAAAACTTTCTTTGATCGTCAGTTTGTTCGACCGGGCCAGTTTTAGCCTGCAAGCAGGTCCGCATCATTAGTGCCTGGGTACGAGCAATTCTGCACTCGCGGGAAACTGAGTATGAGGCCTTGAGCAAGGCGAGCGAGAGGTCTGCGCGGAAGGGGGTCTAGTACTGAAAATGAGGATGCCAGACCCTTTCGCCAAAACTCTCCCCGACTCGTCTCCAAAACTTTCTTTGATGGTCAGTTAATGGAAGCACTAAGTCCGTTGCCCCCGTAGCAGTCTCTTCCTTTTCTTTTTAAGCAAAGAGGAAAAGCGCGAGCTGAGCGAGAGTCACGGAAGGTGTGCGGTGAAGGGAGAAAAATTATTAATAGCAGCTATTTTGTTTTTTGCTCCGATTTGCCGTATTCTTTTGCGTGACTTCGGTTAAGCTAAAATGGAGAGGAGAGGTCTGCTGCATAGGCCTCTAAATCCTTGTTGGCTCTCAAAATCGGGCTTTCTGCAAAGCTTGTATCACAGCCAGCATACTCATGTGCCACAGTGGGTGATGTGAACTTCAATTGTGTTCTTTGTAAATTCTTCGACAGAGATCGAGGCAAGCAGCAGAGAGGATTATTCATCCAAATGTTAAGAATGGCGAAGGAAACACGCCGCTTCACTTTGCAGCTATCAGGGGATACGAAGAAATGACGAACTTGTTATTACGGCGAGGAGCTCAGACTGATGCGAAGAATTACACCCAGATGCGAGCGCCTTTACATTTCGCCTGTCAGTACAATCACCCGAGGGTATGTTTATGAATAGTATTACGATCTTTACGTAGCATTATAATTTGGATATATCAACAAAGTTGAAATGGTAAATTGGCCATATGCTTAAGCAACATATGGCAATCTGCGGTCTTTCCTTGCACTTAGGTGGCACGGAAAGCCGTAAAAATCTTGAACAAAAGCTCATCTTTCAAACCGGCAGTCTAAATCCCACAGGGATCAATGAACGCTTTTCATTCCACTAATTTATTCATGTTTTTCTCGTTGCCATGCACCCACCAATAACGTAGCTCCATTTTCTGCCTTTAAAAGCACACACAACCCACAATTCCTCTATTCGCTCCGACGAAGGGCTAACGCTCGAAACGTCAGCTTTTGTAATCATTACGGTGGCCAATTTACCATTTCAACTTTGTTGATATATCCAAATTATTTCCTTACTCCCACCGACGCAGCCCCAAACAGTTTCTTTCGAAACTATCAGCCTTTATTCATTTATTTTTCCATTTGATTGGTAATCATATGTACCTCATGCACTCATTCGTCTTAGATTGACTTTCCGTTCTTTATTTTTTTTTGTGTGTGAAAACTGAATTTACATACTCCTCAGCGCCGATGAAAAGGAATTTAAAATTCTTGCACCCAAGATGCAGACCTGCTTTGAAATGACTAATTCAAAACTCAGGAATAAACATCCCTCTGACGAACTTTCATCCACCAATTTATTTAGTTTTCACTGTTTTCATTTGTCGTCACTTCGCCTGAAATGGAGAGCTCATTATCTTCACCGTAGTCCAACGTCACTCCATTTGTGTAAGTTTGTTCGATCCATTGTGAAGTAACCCTCGTCCATTCTGAGACAGAAAGCAAAACAAATGAGTCAATTTCCTAACAGCATGACTGTCTTCAAGTATAGTCGGAATGATCATTACTTATTTCGACGATTTCAATGCGGGCCACAAACTCGCTACTAGTTCTTGCTGGCATTGTTTCGTTAAATGGTGCCCACACAGCACAATATCTCTTATAGGCGTGGGAAAGAACTGAAAATGAGTCAAAAAAACCAAGTAGGTCACCCTCATTACCTCATTACATGGGACAATCCTGGTATTTTTTTTCAAGCTTCAATAATTTGATGTAGCCTTTTGCTCCTGAATTCAATTTTTTAGCTTAATGTGCATTTACTGAACCCACAAATATTTCATAGCGGTTCCTATTCAAAATGGATTTGTTTGATCGATCTGTAAATTCACGCCCAACACGCTTCCTTGTCACAGTATCATTGGAAACTCGCGAGAGAACCGGCTGGTCGAATCCAATAAACGCCGATACAGTCCAGTTCTCCATTATCCTGGATATTTCTACATGACAGGCTTGGTACCGTAGCTAAAGCCGGACCCTTTCTTTCCTTCATAATACATGTACAATAAAAACATTTCGAAAGAAAATTTCCTTTCTGTCACATTATTTCCTCTTGGCAGTAATATTAGTCAGGCATTGATTTCCTGACGTGTAGACTTAACAGTTTCACCAAGAGAACTTGCTTCGAACATACCATCTTTGTATTTCAATAAAAAGGTTAAACTAGATTTCTTCCAGAACTTGTTATTGATATGTAACAACTTCACAACTCCCTCCCCTTTCTTCTCCTTACCCCTGAAAAAATAGGTATGAAAACTGCATTCACATGCACGCACCAGTTAGATAACTTTTAAAAGCAATCATGAAAGGGAATTGTTGGCGACTTCCCTTCTCATATGTTATCAGATGGCCTTAAATTCTTACCAAGGTCAGGATTCTCAGAGTAAACATAAACCGTTTCCTCATGAAAACTGTTGAGTTGAATTTTCCTTGATTCTCAATTCAAGTCGCAGGTTTGGTGGCGAGAATTTAATTTGAACTTTGACAATAAGGATCCGTGTTACAAGCGCTGTAGCACAACAACAGCTCTTCTGTTTTGAATGACTTAAAAGCATAAGCAACGAGGACAGATCCTAGCTTCGAGACATTATCGCCTTTACATTGTTTTGGTGCAGCGTTGCAAGGGGCAACAGCAACAAGTATTAATATTCGAAGGTTAAAATGAGATCAAATAGGAAACAATAGCTGAAGGATAAGGCATGTTTAGCTATCTGCGGGTCAACGTGAAAATGAATCAATAAAATTAATATACTAATCGTGATTTTCATCTGCAAAGTTCAAAGCAATTACTTATTCATTTGTCTCTTTATTCCGAACGAGTCGTCTTCTGCGAATGCTTTGGAGACATTTTTATAATAATAGTTTCATAATGAAACGCGTAAAGTTCATGAATGAGAAAAATCGTCACAGTCTTGATCATCCGATGTCTTAGGCCAGTGAGCTGAATTATCCGGATATTCCAGAGTCCGAATATTTGAAATTATAAATACTAATGATTTCGGAATAAAATGATATCTAATCAAAATTACCCAAAACAAGGGGGCATTGTAAATTAATTGTGCATCATTGCCTAAAATTTCCTTCCTTGTAGTTTGTAAAGGAAATAAGCGCATCTTGCAACAAACATCCTTTTTCAGTTGGTGTCTAATTGCTTAAATAGCATTTTTCTAGTTTTGTTTTAACTGATGAAAGTCCATTGTAATTATTGTCTTCATTAGCCTTTTGGTCAGTCACTTAGCGAAAATTAATTCATGCCGATTCAATGAAAATCCCGGAAGAAAAAGGAATCAATAAGTAAAACAATTAGTTCGATGGCTTTAAGTGGTAGTTCGGCGTTCTGGGACAAAAATATTTAAATAATTCGTGAAAGAAGCGATCGCGAACGTCTCCACCTAACTGGGGATCCTCCATCCATGAGTTTGTGTGGACTACCAGATTGTGGGCAGCTTTGATTTTTTCTATATATAGCCAATCGAATGAAATATTCACTGCAGTGCGACTCGGTCTTATTCAGTAATTGACAGTTGATACGACCGATCACGTTATGCGATACTTGAAAAATGGAAAGATCTTGCACGTGCATTTGACTAGTTTCCTGCGTAATCGTTATTATGACGTAAACAAAGATAAAGAAAATCAGAAAAAAAATTAAATCTCTGATTTTTATGAAATCAATAAGATGCCTCGTCAAGTTTCGTCCTCCAAGAACCGTCCTTTTCCTCTACAAATTGTTCTTACATCCATTGACAAAATCGTAGTAAGCGATGTCGTCACATCAATGACCGTGCTGGCCTTGAAGGACAAAATTGAGTTGCAATGTGGAATTCCACGGTAAGATTGAATGATTGCTCGCAAAAAATGTCAATTCCAACTGTCAAAAGGCAAAGCATGAAATCAAAACATAGGCACTTGTGATTTAAAGTCAAAAGAGCCCTTGGTTGTGACGAAAATCGTTCGAGCGCCGTTAATGTATTATCTATGCGTTGAATATTGTTCGTTAGTTTTCAAAATTAAGCGAGTCGCAGGCTGAAGTTTGAAGATCGGCTTGGAATCCTGGTTATTTTAGATGCAGTGAGCCACTTCGCAACCGAACATAATTATTGATATTTTACCGATATTCTAGCAATTGTACGTGGCACAGAACTATAACAGACTTTAACTTTTGAAAGTCTCTGTTTGAGAAATCGTAAATATAAAATAGATAAAAATTCTGACGATACATTAACCTCCCGGTTAGCTCAGTGGATAGAGCGCTGGACTGATGTGCGGGAGGTCGAGGGCTCGAGCCCCGGCCGGACCAACACTCAAGGTCTTAAAATAATTGAGAAGAGTATGCTGCCTTTCTATAACATCTAGAAATGGTTTAGATATCCTAGTCTTCTCGGATAGTGACGAATAAATGGAGGTCCCGGCCCCTGCAGGGTTAGGGGTAGGAGACGTTAATTTCCCACGCACGAGATTACTGTGTCACGGATGTCCTCCCCTGGGGTGGAATGGGTGGGTTGTTGTTTTGCGTTTTATACATGAACCTCAGGCTCGGGCAATATGGGTAACCATGCCCCACGTAAAGACATTAAACTTTGATTACTGTTACTATTACTATTACTTATTCCTTCTAAAGGTCGGGAGCCATTTGACCTTAACATGTGACTAGCGTATATTTCCACGTAATGATCTTCAATTTGTAAACCTCGCGATGGACCTTAGTAAAAGAACGCTAAATTTTCAAAATAATGCTTATTTAAACCAATGAGAAACTTCCAGTCATCCAAACTGCTAAAATTAATGTAAAACAGCCAAATCGGTTAATGTCAATGCTCAGGAATGTTCTCCTTCAGTGTATTTTTGTTTCTATGATTATTGCTTTATTTTATACATTTCTTTTTCATTCTTTGAAGGCAATTACAGCGCTTGACTTATTTTGACGAACTAGACATGGATGACAGAAAAAAGCTTTCCTTCTTTCATGTAGTACCAAACTCCATATTTATAGTGAAATGGTGGCCTGAGTGGGCTTCTCTTATTCAAGCCGCTTATTTTGGTGACATAAAAGGTTAGCCATGTGATTTGACCACGTGGCCTTTCATGTGATATTTATAGAAAATTTAGAACTCATCGAAACTTTGCAGAATAAAAAAAAAGTAATATTTATTATTATCTGAGCCATGTGGTTTTTCAGCAACTATGCAATTTTAGATGCGAGTAAAAGGCAGTTATATTACTCGCATTATATTTGACCGCATCAGCGTGGAATCTTGGTACACCCTGCTACAATCTTTCGATCAGTGTCGATCTCTTGCTCGTCCTGATCCATATCAAATTCTGTGCGATCTGTGTTCACTTGAGACGATAAAACGGTTTACGAGATTTATTCGAAGGCCATTCAGACATAGCTTTAATCTAAAACACTTTATAGCGGGTAGATGCGTGTACAGCTACGTGAACGCGATTTTTGCGCGCACTCGTAATATAAGGACTCGCGGGTAGTTATGAAGTTTCGTTTGCTCCTTTATTCTTAATATGAAATCAGGTGTAATGGCATCGCGAATAGGACAGATGGCGCCAGAAATTGGTTGGTTTAGAAGGATGTACTTTAATGAACGTGGCTATGCTGCTTTGTACATTGCTTCTCATCGAGGTCATTCGCACGTGGTTTCGAGGCTAATGAGCTTAGGTATTGATCCATGTCAGAAGATGCCATCTGGGAGATCCTCTATTCATGTGGCCATTCATACCAAAAGAATAGCCTGTGTGAGCCTTTTAATTGGTAAGATCAGCTAACACACTTGAACTACACGACTAAAAATTTTCTCATCTAATGAATCCAACTTTGAACCTTAACCGATTGTGAGAGCTTGGAAATATCAGTTTGATCTCGAATAGCTTAACCCCAAATCATTGTTATGGATAAATTTCCTTGGTTTCGTCCCTTTTTCTCTATTCAAATTACTCCTCCGTGATGTTTCTAAGCTACCCGCATAGCTTGAGCTTCGCTTTTTCTCCAATATCGTTCCTAATTGGACGTAGAAAGAAAGACTCCCGTTTGAAATGGGGGCGTTTGATATCCAATGGGAAACGGGCCAGGATTAAAAACAACATTACATTCATCTCTCTAGTTCTCAGTAATTTTTCATCAATTCATTCAGTCTTTCATTTATTCATTTATCCGCAATACATAACTTATATTTCTCATAAAAATGAAATCACTAGCTTATTATTTGCTTTAGCCTTGACGGTATTTTAGCATGCCTTCTTGGTCACTTTTCTTCGTTCATTTAGGGAAATCCAGAAGTGTGAGAGAAGAAGCATGCTACAGTGAGAATTGTGTAATGAGGAACACATTTCTGAACATCGCCCGTCAACTGCAGCGGAGAGATGGCTGGAGATTACTGGTAACGCAAATCAAGAAACGTATTGGACGCCGAGAAAACGATACTTCAAGTAAACGAATCATTCCTTTGCGAGAATTTCAGAAATATGACTCTAAATTTTCAACACATTTAACAGGTAAACAAACGCCCAATTACAACGATGTTTTATTCATGCTACTTCTGTTGTTTATTTCAATCATTGTGTAAGAATACTCGATGACACGGCAAGTTTTTCAAGTATATCAAAGAATACTCTTGAAGTTTGTTTTAAGATTCTCAGGTTTGTCTTCTCTAGAGTTTTCCATTCAAGTCAAATGATCGAAGCTCGGGTTTTTCCTTTCTTTCTCTTTATTTTATTGGTGCTTTCTTTGGTTGGTGTTCTGTTTCACCGTCATGCCACAAGAGACACGGATGTCTGGAACAGCAGCTGAGCCAGCTGATTCTTTGAACCTTCCGAGGCTCTCCTCTTATGCTGAAGAAGAAGTTAATAGGCCATGTTCTCATGGATGATTTGACATGTTGATGATTCGTGAGGCAATCACATAAACTTCTCTTGGGTGCATATGGAGACGTATACAACTTAAGAGGGCGACACGCTTCCTTCAGATCATAAATCAGTGAAAGGTTCCGGCAATTCTGCTTTTTTACAAAAAGATCAACTCTCCTAATTGAAAAGAGCAGAAAAATTAACTTTCTGCATTTATTTTTCATAAAACAACATGCAAAATTGTTACCTTTTTTTGTTAATGCTAGTCGATTAGGTGAAAAGTTAAAAAAGGTACTTTTTTAGAGGAAAAAAGGTGGGTATTTTAAGCTTTCGAGTGGAAATATTTTAACGTCAATATTGTCCGCTTTTCGTCCATTTCTCACTTTATTAAAAAAAACTTTAAAGCACGGAAAAGGTGTCTTTTTTTCAATTTGAAGCGATCTCTTCAAAAGCGCGAAAAAGGTACCTTTTTTGCTGTTCAGAAACGTTCCTATCAAAAGAGCAAAAAAGGTACCTTTTTTTGCGGTTGGAATCTCATTGAAGACAATAAAACGTACAAACATGTCAGTAGAATTCTCACACAAAACTTTCCAGAAGTAATAAGAGGCTTTTCAGAAAGAAACGTACGTTCTATTTGTGCAAAATATATATTCCGCCATATTTGTCTCTTGACTAGTGGGTCAGTCAATTCAAGCAAAACAAATGGCGCTAAACGGTTGACATCTGTCAATCAGTAGAATTTAAAACGGCTTTCAAATATAGTTTGAAAACGCCGTTTATTTTCAAAGGTACCTTTTTCGCACTTTTGAAGAGATCGCTTCAAATTGAAAAAAAGGTACCTTTTTCGCGCTTTAAAGTTTTGTTTAATAAAGTGAGAAATGGATGAAAAGCGGACAATATTGACGTTAAAATATTTCCACTCGAAAGCTTAAAATACCCGCCTCTTTCTCTCTAAAAAGGTACCTTTTTTTAACTTTTCACCTAATCGACTAGCATTAACAAAAAAGGTAACAATTTTGCATGTTGTTCTATGAAAAATAAAAGCAGAAAGTTAATTTTTCTGCTCTTTTCAATTAGGAGAGTTGGTCTTTCTGTAAAAAAGCAGAATTGCCGGAACCTTTCACTGATTATTATAGCATATTTAGCATCTGCATTTGTTTTTTCCAATACACAAGCGTTTCTGGTAAAAGTAAATTTTTCCATGGTAGTGTTCCCTCCAATTCTTTCTTTATCCTCCCTTTGAGCCTTCTTCTCGACACGTCTTCCCAGGAATCACTTGTGGTGTGATGCCTCCACAACATGTCGCAAAAATGGGTGGTAATATCAGTACAGAGTAGGCATACTACATATTCATTGATAATTCATTTATCTTTTAAATTAGTTCTGTACCTCCTACTCATTTACTCATCTTTCTATTTGATGTTTATTTATTCATTTCTCAACAGGGCCACTTGGTCGGATTTACCTTTGCACAGTTCTCCAGATGGATCCCATTCGACGCCGAACTTTCATAAAGCCTTGGAAATCTTGAACACATTTAGAGTTAAAGATTTATAATTCACTCTCAGTTACCCCCACTCTAGAAAAGGCAAATCTATTCATGTATTTGAATTTTTAACATTAGCACTGTGCGAACAAGTTATCCGTTAATCCTCTTTCCATAAAAGTAAGATCAAACTACAACAGAAGGAAATCTTTAAGCAAATGGGAAATGTGAAATTAGGAGATTTTCATCACGTTTATTAATAGAAACTAATAATTTCAAAATTAAATCAGAAGGCACTCATTAGACGTGGATCTTAAAAGGGTGATGGCTTTAATTTTATGGCTAACGGTTAAACTTTTGGGTGTTATACGGCTAATGTTTGATTTCTTTCCGTTGCGATGAAAAAAGTCGTTTTACGGCCAACGGTTAACCCCAAAAAAATTCTTGTTGACAAGTTGGGGTCTAGTACCCCCGCTAGTCTTGGTTTGCCAACATGAAGAGGTTACCAATCCGATTTCAACGGTCGTTGTGTCGCGGTTAAGATGACGCGGATGTTTACCATCGTTTTAGCGTTTCACTGAGAACACGAAGAGCCGCCTGTCGTCGACCGCAGGGCTGAGATTATGTGGCTAGAGAATCGAAGTGAAAGATCCACCTCTTCCCTTGAATTCGGCGGTGGATTTGTGGCCGTGGTTACATTTTAGCTTGGGATTTTCTACTTCGTTCGGGAGGCTGTCCGGACAGAAGTGTTTGGCCTTGTCCTCTCTTTAAGAAATGAAAACCAGGATTAAAAAAAAAAAACTGCTAAAATCGAGTTAAATCGGTAAAATAACGACACCAGGAGCAAACAACACACGTATAGAATAAGGTAAGCCATTTTTATTTAATATATTCACTTTTAACTATCTCCATGGATATCTTGTAGAAAATCCCATACAAATCCTTATAAATCGATATGCAAATTGTGTTCCCTATGTAGTTCTTAAAGAGAGCTTGGGCTGCCTGTGATCTCAGGTTCTTTCAAGCTGACCATTGCATGCAACACTATCGAATGTGACTCAATCCATACCTCAGTCTGCCTACTCGCTTTGCGTGGCATGAGAGTCTGTATAGAAGGAATATATATTCCGTCAATGGCAAGAAATAGTGATTACTTTCTAATTCATAACACGTACTGCATCAGTCATCTTTGATTCATTTAGTTTGTTATGGTAATTGTTAGTAAAAGAAACGATACTAAGTACAACGGCTTACGCAGTGTTCTCTTTTCTTATGATCGCATTGGAAACTAAAGACGCAAGATGAAGGTCACCCTGACGGCAATATTTAATAACATGAGACAAATGAAATTTGAGGGTGAACTGTGACGAAGGAATCTGTAAGTGAAGACATTGCCTCTTAACACGGGAGTCATAGATTGACTTCTATATATCTCAAAACGAAATTCTTGCTCTCTGCCAACCCCTTCCCTCCCTCCTTTAATTTGAAATAGGAAAACATAAATCAGTGGGGTGCATTTAGTCAATTTTTATGACTCGTTACTTTCCTCTAAAACCATTTTTAGCCTAACTAATCTGTTCACGGACCAAACTTTCACTGTTTTCAAATTATTTAATTTTTAAATATGGTAAAAAAAATACCCTCTTTAATTAATTAGCGATGTTCCTTTCTATCAGCTGATTAAAATGAAATTGAAATATAGCTTTCGCAACCTTTATTTGTAAGGTGGGCATACTTATTTAAATAAAACATTTCCAATGTTTTCGTTAATTGTTTTTAGATCGCAAGGACAGACATACTAATTATATTTATGTGTTCTACTTCATGTAGAAGACATGTTTAAAGATTATACGGAAGAGGAGTATGCAATCATTTTTCGAGCACATTCAATCGCCTTCTAACCGACATTAAAACTAGATTTAATAGTGGAGTTAAGATCAAGTCAATTGGTGGCAGGCGTAGCTAAAGTATTTTTCCATTATCGTTTCGTGAAGTTAACAATTGAGCGAATCTAAATAAAACACACCTGCTATTTATACGTCAGAGCGCATGTAGTCTTAAAAGGGTGCTTGTGTTAAAAAAATTTAAAAAAATGTGTGTATGCATGTTACTAAATAGGTCCGAATGAACCGAGAGTGATACAAAATAGAATTCGGTAAATTAAAAGGATTTTGAATTTATTCTTCTAAGCCTCATCTATAAAGAAAGAGTTCTCATCATCTTTTACAGAAAAACGATACTCATTTTATTTCAATTCATAGAGATAGTGAATATGATACATGTCATGTCGATCAAATAATGAATGATAATTGACAGAAACTCGTAGCTTCAGAGGATTGAACAAAATGTATCCTAAATAAAGCTGTCGCTTTGGAATCCTCATTGTTTGACGAATTAAATGGGATGTTTGCTCTCTTAAACTAACAGTCAAGAATTGCAAGAATTAAAAGGAAAAGAAACCTAACAAAAATCAACTTCGTCTTCCATCTAAAAGAATCTTCTTTTAAAAATATGTTACAGTGATATCATTCCATTCAATCCAAATGGAGAGTGATTCTTATGATCCAACTGGACGACCTTGGAAAGAAGCAAACTTTGATCTGAAATATTTCTGGGCAGCGTTCGTTGCACTGACAGCACTGGCTACTACGTTTACAAACGCGTTGGTTCTTCTTGCTGTGTGGAAAGATCCAAATAAGAATTTGCAAAGATCTCCGTCTAATCTACTAATCGCGAGTCAAGCGCTGGCTGATTTCTTTGTAGGTTTGGTACAAGATCCCTTGTGTGCCTGGTGGATTTTAACATTTTCTTCCGTTGCTGTTCACACCATCGAAGCTGTGAGTTCTCTGTTTTTAGTTTCTTCCGTCTTACATGCGGTAGCTTTGTCATTCGATCGATACGTGGCTGTAGCAAGACCATTACAGTACAACGTGACTATTACAAAGAGAAGAGTATTTTTCTGGATTTTGATTATCTGGATAAGTAGCATCGTCTACATGTCGTATCGCACGATTTTGAGAGAGCTCGACTTCTCAATCGTGCTGATAAACATCATATCTGGGGTTCACACTGTGCTGCCGTCAGGTATCAGCGTGATGTTTTACATTCGCCTTTACTGCATGGTAAAAAATCTTCGAAAGGGGGCTAGCAGCCTCGACGAATCAGGGAAAATGGTTATCAACGCGTACCAAAGAGAACGAAATATGACGAAAGCCATGTTGGTTGCACTGTGTTTGTTTTTATTCTGTCTCACTCCTTGGTTTGTTTTCTACCAAGTTATTGGTGCATGTCCCACCTGCGAGGAACACGAACCTTACCAAATGTATTTATTTGCAATTTTTTATTACATCTTTACCATGAAATCTTTGCTGAATCCGTTCTTGTACGCGTGGCGTCTCCCAAAATACAAAGCAGTCTTCAAAAGTCTGTTAAGAACGGGAACAAACAGCCATCGACGAATCGAAGTGATGAACTTATCTGAGACAAGCTGAGAAGTAAGTTTACTCCACCACTGGGACCCCACGCTAAAACACAAATTCAGCACAGGAAGGATTTAGTTGCCGTGGCAATAATCGTTTACCAAATAAAGAAGATGTAAACGTTTCCATTGACTTAGCAAAAATCTTTTTTAATATAAATTATTACACATTGTACGTTTCAGACTTGTTTCAGATCAAAGAGATATGAAGACAATAATTTACAAAGTTTTATTTTGTACGTTTGAAGCGTGGCAACAAGCTCCAAAGCAGTCAGCAGTGAAGTGAAATGTTAATTATGTGTTATTTAGTACTTATTTCACATTCTGAATATGAAGATCTTAAGATTGTTGTTTCTCTCGCGATAAAGGCAATATAAACTAAAGTGCACTACTAGGATCGCGTGGGTTGCTTTCCATCACGATGAACTTGTTATTTCGGTTACTACTTTGAAAGAAAGCCTTAAAACCAGTCTGAGAGAGGAAGTATTTAAAACCCGATCAACAAGAACTGTAAGTGGTCATTACTGTTTAAGCTAATAGATAATTACAAATCGGCTTTCGAAGAGACCGTTTGTGTAGACCATTTAGTGCGAAAATTAGAAAGCCTTGAACGCTACAAATATCTGTATGTATCTATTTTAAGTTTCAGAGAAAACTCCATGATTCTTGAGAAGAGTAAACTTGATCAGCAACGCTAGCTAGTTTGTGGTTTTGAAAGTCCTGTACTTTACTGTGATTGGTCAGTACACATCTGACCTGTCAGAATCTCGTCAAAGTATTTAAGTCTCTCTCAGTAAAACTAATGGGCGATTCTTGACGTTTTAGAGGAAGAAATGAACTATCCACATAGACTAAACAGGATAAGAAATTGCAGTGTTCAGTCTGTCATAGAATCGCTTTATACTTTTTAGATTTGCACTAAATCCGATTGATACTTAATAATTGTTCACCTAAGTGGAGGTGAGTACTGGTGGTTAATTACCACGCTGCGTAGCAGCGTGGTAAATTACTTTCACCGACACTTAAGTATTCATTTTTTCAGTATTTACCGCAGAGAAACCGAAAAAAATAGTTTACAACCGTCGAAACACCGAAAAGTTGGTCTGAAATTAATTGAACTCTTGACGCGCGATTTTGTCTCTTCAGCTGTTTTGAGGGGAATAGTACTGGCTAATCACTCCTGAGCTAGCCAATCAGCGTGCATGATGAGTCATATTCTCTTGTGTGGTATATACAAAAAGTATTTATAGTTATTTAGAACGTTTTCGATTGTTCTATACCTTTCCGAATTTTCCTTAACACCTTGAAAAATATTGATAAATAATTGATAACTTTTTGGTGTAAAGCAGCAATTTATTAGTAGAATAGCAGAAAGATTATGAATGGAGATGAAAAGAAAATTGGAGTCTTACACAATCCATATAAAGTACATTTTGTTATTGGAAGTTTCTCGTGATAAAAATCTTCGCCTTTAACCATCATTACTGACAACTAGATGACAAATGCTATCGAATAATAGATGTTGTTCAACATTCTGTTGTTTTTATGCGCTAAAATCTACTTTGCATTTAAAACATTTTCAACCCCTGGCGGAGGAAATGTCACAATATATACCTCCTCTTCCAAGTGGGCTTAGAATATTGATTCATATTGAAATGTGGAAGGTTGTTTAGCAAACTTCACTTACATTATTCCTCTCTGAAGGTAACCGGGCTAATAAATTCAGTTTTAGTTTCATGAAAACAATGAGATGTTTATGAAAAAAAAAAAAGAAAAGAAAAAAAAAAAAAGGAAACGTCCTTCGCAATATTGGATCAATGGACAGATTCTGTTCAGTCAGTCTGCGAAAAACTAGCTTACATTTCAACGAGGCTATTTTAACTCTTTGTGCCATATCATTGTGGAGGAAAAATTAATCAAAACCATGAATTGAAATGGTATGAAACAAACAGAATTGCAATTGGGGCACGACTGAGGAGAAATGTTTAATATGTATATTTTTTAATTAAAAATTAAGAAAAATAGCATATATGACTTTCCTAACTAGCTTGCCCAAGTTCTATCGATTCAAATTGAGTATGATACATTTAGTAAATTCTTCCCTTGTAATTTAACCAGGGAAGTTGTGATATTCTTTGGATATCCGTTCATGAACATACCTACTTCCCGAACAAAGTTTCCCGTAAGAGGAAGGTAAATTGAGATCATTTTCCTTCGACTCTATCGACTTATTTGAACCTCATTTTTACAAAAAAAAAAAATGCCCTTCAAGCAGTATTTATTTCTTTCGTGCTTCGTGTAGAGCTTTCAATCAATTTCTGATCTAAAAACTTCCCCCTCAGTTGTGGGGGGCAGACGCAGGATAACAAAGGAGAAGGCCGCCAAAACAACCCAAAACAGCTGGATGTTATTAATCTTAACTATGACATCCTGTCATTTTATGCCTGAACCGCGCAGACGTGATAAAAATTGCATTTAAACGCAAATTTACCGGCAGTTCACAGTTGCCCTCAATACGTTTCTGTGTTTTTCATTTAAAGCCCTCTTCTTTTGACTGTCTGGCTGGAAGCGCTGCTTAAAATGTACCAGCGTATCTTTAAGATACTCTTTCTTATTTTGTCTCTTGTTGGTAAGTAGTGTATTTAACGCGTAGACCTCTTTTCATTCAAATTTTAAATTTCTTTGGAAAATGTTGCATTTTAGAGGATAAAGAGAGACACAAATCAATCCTCGATAATCCTAGTTCTCGCTGAATGACGTTAAACTTGTCTTAGCCCTTCTTGAAGTTAAAAATATATAAGCGTAGCTGAGGCATAATTCCCAGCAAAAAATAATATTCGAACTGCATAGACTTGCAGCAAGATATTCAAGAAAAAATAACATATTCTACTGGTTAAAAACTCAAGCGTCGCTTCCATCGCGTGACTGAATATCCTCCAACGACTCTTCTAGATCTACAATTCTTATTAACATAATTCTGGGACTATTGATTTTATAATCCCAAAGCGTCCTCTCGCGACACCAAATATAAATCGAACACAATCTGAGGGGTTCCGACCTGATGAATTTCAGACCAAATCAAGGTGACAAGTTGCCTGTATTTTGTCGGTATGTAAAAAGAAACCACGATTCCAGTTTCTTTGAATAATTTGAATAACTTACAATATCGATCGTGAAATGTTGCACCTGTCACTGGCGCTTTAAGTGCTGGTAAAATTTGCATGCTATGTTCCGAATGATGTCATCAAGATGCATTTCTGAAATCTAGAAGAAAATTGGAAAATTAACCCGACGTCCTGTTTTTTTTTTTTTTTTTTTTTTTT